TAGTTCTGTTTGCATACACCTAATTGAAATAAAATAACAGCTGTCCGCTGTAGCGATAGCGACGCTATGGTCTACTCTTATTTCTAATTCCAACTGTCAAGGGTTATTTACATGTACGCCAATGTGTACAGTGGACCTAGGTTTTTTTTTGTCTCATCCCAACAACTATACACTGTTCATTGTCAGGTGTTTTCTCAGGGAAACATAAACCTTCACTTGGGCTCTCTCTCACGATTTCCTTGTAATGGGTACAGCATGTTTATCTAATCTAGTATCTTGTTTCTCGGAAATCACCAGATCTTCAGATAAACTTCCCTCAGAGAAACCTTGGACAGGGTTAGTTTCTCTTTCCGGGAAGGTATTTTCAGAAATTTACCCCAAAAGAGTATTTGATAATATATAGTTTACGAGAAACCTCGGGCACGGTAAGTTTCTCTTTGCGACAAGGCATTCTTAGAAAATTACCCCCAAAAAGATATTTGATAATATCTTGATGACCTGTATTTCACAACCTTTGTTCTTGTTTAAAAACTATTAGATAATATTTAAAGATACATTATGTAAGATTTAGATAAAGAGCTAGCCATTCTTGCTATAAAAGTTTGAAAATAGATAATGTAAAATGAATAATTTGAAAATTTCGTTCAAATTACTCTATTGCGAGCGAAGATATTAGCCTTTGAAGGTTTGACAAGACGTGTGCAATAATTTCAACCACTGCACTGGTTGTTCGAAGCTAAGGCTCGCTCCTCCATTTATGGCGAAAATCAAAATATGGCTGTACTGTTCTAATCTATTTAATATCGGAGAAATTCAATGCCATCGAGAGTTGATTATAGCCTGGATAAGTTAATTAATGTCTAATTAATAATTTATATAACATTTCAGGCCTAAAGAAAGACCTGCAATAGGCAGATTTATCTCTTGCATAATGTATGTTTAAATTCCTTCACGACCTTTGTCCGTGTTTAAATACTACTTGATAATATTTAGATTCCTTCACAACTTTTGTCATTGTTTAAAAATAAAACTATTTCCTGTGGTTTAACAAATAAATAAAACTTTGTACACAAATTACTATTATCCTATTAGACTATTACCCCTATGGCCTGTAAACAGTGAGACGAAATGTTAAAGTTCAAGTAGGTATAAATGTTTTGTGTGGATTATAATAAAATATCTCTGGTTTTCCTCTTATAAAATAAATGTACTTGTATAAACATTGTAAATAATTGTATACATGTACGTGAATATACATGTACAGAAAATACAGCTGATGAAACCATTGCCTGTATATAAATCTTAAAGAAGGTGAAGACAGAGAGAAAGAGAGAGAAAGAGAGAGAGAGAGAGAGAGAGAGAGAGAGAGAGAGAGATGGGGTTTAACCTCAACTCGACACCAACTAGGTCATTTCGGGACTAACATACACTAGGGACCTGGTATCATTCAGATTTGATGAAAAAAGGAAAGAAACTGAGCTTACCATCTATAATCTAATACACATATTCAGTTAATAGATTGCCATGCAGAAAGTATTAAATACCATCAAGATTCATCAAATAACGCCCAGTTTGTGCTACCGTTTAGTTTGACATCGGTTGTCTAGTTTATGAAACTAAATGGTCATAAACTGGATGACCAATATCAAAACTAAACTAAATGGTCAAAACTAGATGACCGATGTCAAAACTAAATGGTGTTTATTTCAATAAATCGTTTGTGCATACATGTAGGGGTCTTTAGCAGTGGGAGGAAACCAAAGAACCTGGAGAAAACCCACAAGATTAGACTGGCGACCCTACTCCTTGTCACATACAACCGGGGAATCGAAACCACAACCACGCCAGTTTACTCAATGACAGACCTTATGATACTGTGCATCAAATACCAGAACAAGTCCCAATAAACTAGGGAAACTTTGTTTTCTTGATAATAACCTCTTTCCAAATAACTCCTCTTTTCCTGAGCTAAACGTCCTACTGTTCTGCTCCGAACTGGGCTAATGAAGACGGCCATACAGTATGCTTGTGATATGACTTGTGGAATATGTCTAGCCTTGATGTTCGAATACCTTGTTACAAATGGCACTGAAATGCATTATGATACACGATTCATGTACCAACAGCAAAATGTTTATTTTGTCTTAAATATTGGATATCAGATGCCAATCTTTTCCCGGTAAGATCACAACATCAATGTTGATTTAAATTGACAAATAATTCTTGTTTTCAATGAGTAAGAGACTTAGCTACTTTAAATTCAAGACAGAACTCTTTCAAATCAGTGTTCAAACTCTTTAAACTTCAAGTGATAATCCCTACTTGTGTATCTCTTGTACGTATACAAAAATGAAATAAAATGAAATGGGGTTTAACGTCCTACTGTTCTGCTCCTATACTGTGCTAATGAAAACGGACATATGCCATACAGTGTGCTATGAGGGAAATTTTGCCCAGGCAGCGGCACTATCGCCTACTCTTATATCGAATTCCAACTGCCAGGGGATCTTTTACGTGCATTCCAATATATGCACGGGACCTCAGTTTTTCGTCTCATCCGAACGACTAGACAACTGATCTTGTCAGGCCCTCCGTCTGCATCACTGACAAGGGGAAACCACGCCCGAAAATCTGGATGAACTTTCTCGGCAAATGCAGGGATCAAACACCCGACCTCCAGGTTAGCGAGCCAGCGTCTTACCCACTTAGCCACCGTGGCTCCCACGTATACAAAATTTGATATAAAAACTATAAACCTTAAACCTTGGCTTACAATATAATAATATCACAAGTAAACAACTTGGGTCTATATACACAAAACATGGGGCATTTATCTCATTCATCTCGTATTTAGAGATTAACCTCTCGTGACATCATCTGAGGTCATTATTATGATAAATATTTCAGTATTTCATGCATGAACAACAATAAAACTATTTATAGATTCAGTAATAAAGTGTATTATGTTGGGTGTTGACAATATACTCTGATTATCTTGTTCGCTGTCATAATCAAAAAATAGTTAACTGCTTCAAGGTGTCCATCAAACTATTTTTTACATGTATCGCTCTTCGTTGTTTTATTTATCTGAGTACAGTGTAGACATCTTCCCCTCTCACTTAACATTGTGTCAAGTAAATGAAATGAAATGGAGTTTAACACCCTACTGTTCTGCTCCTAACCTGGGCTAATGAAGACGGGCATAGGCCATACAGTGTGCTATGAGGGAAATTTTGCCCGGGCAATGGCACTACGGCGTACTCTTATATCGAATTCCAACTCCCAAGGGATCTTTTACGTGCATGCCAATGTGTACATGGGACCTTGGTTTCTCGTCCCATCCGAAGGACTAAACAGCTGTCCTTGTCAGGCCCTCCGTCCTGCATCACTGACAAGGGGGGACTACGCCGGATTGTGTCAAGTAACAATCCTGTCTATATACATGTATAAATGAATGAGTAAAATACCTGCATCCCTCGCGTCCCCACCCCTCCCCCCCACCCCTCCCAAAATAAACAAACAAAACAAATACATTAAAATCAAAGTGTGGGTGCAAGCAGGAAATTATGGTTTGGTTATTGTGGATAGCCAAATCTTACTGAGTACGTATTAAAGAAATAGCCCCGCCCCCCCCCCCCCAAAAAAAAATACATTAAAATTCAAGTGTGGGTGCAAGCAGGAAATAAGTTATTAGCTTATCTTACTGAGTATTTAAGAAATACTCTTTATCCAATCTTCCGGATTCTGGTGTTTGTAAACAGAAAAGCAATAAAGACCAGGGGCGGATCCAGGAATTTTTGCAGGAGGGGGTTTTCAACATCTCATTTGACGTCAATTTTTATTATGAATTAATACCATGGCAGTGATTCAATTTACATCACATAATGTCTATATCATTATCTTGTGCTTTGAATGCCCAACGGCCAAGAAACTTTTCTCATAAAAAGTTTTGATTTACAAAAAAGTTTATGTAGCTGAGCAGGGTTCACCCCCACCCCACCCCCACCTCTGAATCCGCCCCTGAAGACGTGCAATACAACCCAAGAGCCAGGGCTGTCTTAAGTAATATTTGAGGTCTCCGAGCAAAGTACATGTACATATACCTACCCCCATCCCCCACACCAATATAAACGGTAGTTCAAATATATAACTTCCTGTCCAAATCAAGTTATCTTCTAGATATTAATAAATTTAAAGTGTTAATCCCATCAAGTGTCTGTGGTTGAGACCAGGAACACATCTTTTATAAATAATTTATAGATAAAATTCCTCAAGCAAAGAACTTGACAAGATAGTCTTAGAAGAAGAAGAGTTTAATTCCAGATTGGATCTTGCCTACACTGTACGTGTGAGATTCTTCCACCTATCAGCTATCATCTGTAGTTTTAGACAGGAGTTAATTTGTCAGTCTATAAGTTTATTGTTAATATCAATCTGACTAAAACACAGGTCCTATTTTGTTTCGTTTTTATTGTTCAAAATGTCGCTTTACTTGTCTTTACTACACTAAGATCTGGAAGAGTTGTTATCATTGAGGTGCTCTGAATAATGTGATCTATTAGCCAATGAAACGGTCTGTTATGGTGAGCTTTAGACATGGTCTGAATGATGTGAGCTATTAGCCAATGAAACGGTCTGTTACAGTGAGCTTTAGACGTGTTTTGCACAGAACTGTGGGCAATCCACTAGTAACATCAATGCTGATTGGTTAATCAAATGTCTGATGTCATAGGGTCAAAAGCCACCTGTATGACCTCTAACACGACCTATCGCTACAACTGGTCAGATCTTCATGTAGTGTAGGCCATCGAACGTATAAAAAATGAAACAAAAGATCTGTATTTTAAAGAGATTGTGTAAATATACAAGTTGTATCAATATGAAAGATTTAATACAGACGTCCTCACACAGACACACACAATACAGGCTTCTCAATATCGGCAATGGATACGAGGCAGACAAATTGTCTCCAAATTACAATACAACAGACGATAACTTACCTGCTTCCATCATCTCAAATCCAATTGGTCTATTTTCTGGGTCGGCCATTTTCCTCTCTATTAGTAATCCTTCAATTCACAATTCACAAAAAATATTCCAAATCAGAATGAAACACACAAATCATTACCTACAATTAAACATTAAACTATTAATACTGTAGAAGTATTTATTGATTGGATAGAGAAATAAAATATAACACATTTATGGTAAACAGCTAATACAATACATGTACATTAAGAGAGAGAGAGAGAGAGAGAGATGGGGTTTAACATCCACTCGACACAAACTAGGTCATTTTGGGACTAACACATGGTTTAATTTTATTTCAATAATTCGCTTGCGCGTAGGGGTGGGAGGAAACCGGAGGGCCTGGAGAAAACCCACAAGGTTGGACAGGCAACCCTTCAGTCCGTGTCAAGTACAACCGGGGAATCGAAACCACGCCAGTTGACTCAATGACAGGCGGTATGATACAGCACGCACGTGCTTATCATTCGGCCATCCAACCCCCGCAATACATTTAGAGGCATTTAGTAACTGGATAGAGCAATCAACCATACATGTACACTACAATGTACTTGTGGAAAAACAGCTACGGTACTGAAATGAAATGAAATGGGGTTTAACGTCCTACTGTTCTGCTCCTATACTGGGCTAATGAAGACGGGCATACACCATACAGTGTGCTATGAGGGAAATTTTGCCCGGGCAGCGGCACTATCGCCTACTCTTATATCAAATTCCAACTGCCAAAGGATCTTTTACATGCTTTCCAATGTATACACGGGACCTCGGTTTTCGTATCATCCAAAGGACTAGACAGCTGTCCTTATCAGGCCCTCCATTCTGCACCACTGAGAAGGGGGAAAAATGAAATGAAATAGGGTTTAACGTCATGCTGATCTACTCCGTCTGGGTAAATGAAGACAGGCATACGCCATATACAGGTACTGTGCTATGAGGGAAATTTTGCCCGGGCAGAGGCACTATCGCCTACTCTTATATCGAATTCCAACTGCCAAGGGATCGTTTACGTGCATTCCAATGTATACATGGGACCTCAGTTTTTCCATATCATCCGAAGGACTAGACAGCTGTACTTGTCAGGCCCTCCGTTCTGCACCACTGAGAAGGGGGAAAAATGAAATGAAATAGGGTTTAACGTCGTGCTGATCTACTCCGTCTGGGTAATGAAGACAGACATACGCCATATAGTGTGCTATGAGGGAAATTTTGCCCGGGCAGCGGCGCTATCGCCTACTCTAGCTGCCAAGGGATTTTTTATGTGCATTCCAATGTATACACTGGACCTCGATTTTTCGTCTCATCCGAAGGACTAGATAGCTGTCCTTGTCAAACACTCCAGTCTGCACCACTGACAAGGGGGAAACCATGTGGGAAAATCCTGATTATCTTTATCGACCAATCCGGGGATCGAACACCCGACCTCAGAGGTAGCGAGCCAGCATCTTACCCACGAGATTGGGCGTGGTCACATGTCGACCATTCACCAGTCTCTGACAGTCAATGACTAGTACATGTACAGAGGCAGATTCAATGGGGGGCGCGAGGGGCGCGGACCCCCCCTAATTTTCGACAGTGCCCTTTTTTACTGCTGAAAGTGCCTTTTCTCAGACTCAAATATGTCCGTTCCCAACCCGTTGTAGGGATCCCAAATGACTCAAACCATCGACTCAAACACACCAGTCTGGGAAATAGCTCTTGGAATGGCTACAGATGCAAAGAAATGACGGATAATTTTCTTGGGGACCCCCCCCACACACACACAGCGGCGTGCCCTGTCTCTGCGGTCAATGTCTTCATTTTGCAGCGCCCCCCCTTTTCAAAATTCCTAGATCCGCCCCTGATGTACATGTTCAATATACAGGCTGTAATGCCGCCTACTCGCCTTCATATAATATATTGAGAGAGCATGATTTCTTTTGCTCTGTTCATATTTGTTCATCTCAAAATCTGGGTGTAGGCAAACATCCTTTTTGTCAGTCAAGTGCAAGGTTACCTATCCATTGTTAAATTTTAAATACCGGTATGGTACATGTTCTCTTTCTCTGGACCAACCCCTCCCCCTAACTTCCCACAGAGAGAGAGAGAGAGAGAGAGAGAGAGAGATGGGTTTAGCATCCACTTGACACAAACTAGGTCATTTCTGGACTAACATATGGTTTAATTTTATTTCAATAATTTGCTTGCGTGTAGGGGTCTTTAGCTGTGGGAGGAAACCGGAGGACCCGGAGAAAACCCACGAGGTTGGACAGACGATCCTACTCCTTGTCACGTACAACCGGGGATTCGAAACAACGCGAGTTGACTCTGTGACAGACTTTATGATACAGCGTGCACACGCTAACCATTCGATCATCCAACCCCCCCAATTCCCCACAGACCCACACGCAAAATCTGTACAAAGTATTAGTCTCTCATTGACCTGGCTTTCAGTTTTTTTTAGGCAATATTTCATTATTTATGGCATAATTTACGCTGAATTGTAGGCTACTCAAATTCATTATTAACAATAAATTATTTAATTAAGTAATCAAATGAACTCTTTTCTGGTTGCGGTATTTGAGAGAAGTTTTATGGGGCCCAGCATGAAAATAAATGAAATACAGACTTTAATAAATATCGCGAGCATAATGCAATAGTCATGGCAACGCATCTTATCCATCATGACAGGCAGTCAAATTTTGATACATGTATGCTCAGACAGCCTTGACTGACAGACGTGCAAGCCTACTCCCCAGCCTAGATCTGCCCTTGAATTTATTTATTAACCATTATCAACCAATATTCAACCAATTGGGCCCTCGAACCATCAATATATGAGACCCATAAATTGTCAACACTTTAAACTTCATAAAAATAAATTGATTTACTGTCCAATACTTAACGGTAAACACGCAAGTCACATATTCAATTGCATTATAAATGACGTTAACCATCTAAATAAATCATAAACAACAAGAAAACGTTGAAGATAAATTATACTTTCGTAACACCACAAAAATTTACTATAACATACATATAGCTTAGCTGCACAGCTTTACTTTCAACTTTTAAAATGGTTCCAATTTTTACAGTGTTGGTACCGTTCGGGGTGAGCAGGAACCGGTAGCTGTATGGTTTGAAATCCAATCCAACGCAAAGGCAATGCTATCGTTCTTCTCCTTTCTCGACTTGTTGAGTTCACAAAAATAAAAACAAAACTACATTCTACACTCACCTAAATTTTGTTAAATGGATGATTGTTTTCTACATTGATATTAGTCTGTGGTTCTGTCGAATTAACTGGTTATATTCCTACTTTCGAGAAGAAATTATTGGGTCAAAAATAATAACAGTCACTCCCAAAACGAAGCAGTTCGCTGCACTATGGAGAATCCCTCAACCATAGCAAAGCCTCGCCTTCGATTTAAAAAACATCTATTTTTAGCTCACAAGTCGGGTTATTCCCGACAACTATGTTGGTGATATGTAACACTGACAAAGGCGGCGCGGAGCAGTCATGACACGCTGATTAGGACCAGCTGATAAAATGTTAATTATGAGACAGCAGAGAGAAACGGGGTTTAACGTCCACTGACTCCACTCGACACAAACTAGTTCATTTAGGGACTAACATATGATTCAATTTTATTTCATTAATTCGCCTGCGCGTAGCCGGGGTCTTTTAAAATAGCAGCGGGAGGAAAGCGGAGGGAGGGAGAGAGAAATGGGGTTTACAGTCCACTCGACACAAACTAGGTCATTTCGGGACTAACATATGGTTCAATTTTATTTCATAGCTGGGGTCTTTAGTTAGCAGTGGGAGGAAATCGAAGGACTCGGAGAAAACCGACGAGGTTGGATAGGCGACCCTACTCCTTCCTTGTCAAGGTTAATTGGCTGATTGGGACCATGGCTGATTGGGACCTGGCTGACTGGGACCAGATTTGTGGCTGATTGGGACCAGATTCTTGGCTGACTGGGACCAGATTTATGGCTGATTGGAACCACAACAAGGCTCATTCAGACCATTACTTAAATGACGCGAGTATTTAAAATTATATGTTTGCATATTTTTGATAATAAGACAACTATGACAATAAATAGTGTAATTTGTCACAAATAATAGTGTAATTAGTGAATGACGGCTTCAATACAAATGAGCTAAATCACAGAGAAGATGCTTCACATTCTTGGCTGATTGGGACCAGATTCTTGGCTGATTCAGACCATGATCAGACTAATGACGAGAGTGTTTTAAATATGTTAATTGCATGACAATAAATACTACCCAGTATTATCAAATTGTAACCCAATATCAAATAGCCTCCTATCAGTATAATTACTGCAACGAATGCGATATTTTGTAATGAGTGAAGTTGAAAAAATGACAGACAAATTGTTCTTTGTATAATATTTTAATTAGTAAATATCATTTTATTTCATATATGTACGAGACATTTGGTGGCGATTCAATTCCTTTACAAACCAATATTTTATTATTTAGTAGTAGCCGAGACAGAGACCTTCCTGATCTAGACAAGTGTTGAATGCAATACACTAAATAGGTTGACAAATGTGTAAAATTGTCTTAGTAATATACACATTAAACAAAGTTAATTAAATCACACTTTATAGTATAAAACTCCGGTAGCAATATATACAAGACCCTAATCACACCATTTATTGTTAATTAATGACAAGCCTAGTAATCCAATAAACAATCAGATCCAATCACACAAATTCCCTGTTGTGGCTGTCAGTAAGATCTGTTTACTTGTGTTAAAATTGAGTCTATAAATCTATTATATTTTTTTCTGTACAAGGTAGGATAAACATTTTGACTGCTTTTATATACATCATATTTGAAATAACCGATTACCGTTGCTACTGTATTGTTGGTATTAGTTTTCAAATTTGTATGGTTTAAACATTAATTCTATAACATAATTACGCACTATGTATAATGGATACGGATTTCCGTTATGCTACTGTATTGCTAGTATTAGTTTTCGAATATGTATGACTTATTGAAATTAGCATAAATTGGTTTAAACAGTATTTCTACGTATAATTACACACAATATATAGGCTCTAATGGATTCCGAAACAAGCTATGAAGTTTTTAAAATAAAATAAAAATGGTCTGTTTAAATTGCATAAAACGTATAATAATTTACATAAGATTAATGAGATAATCTCTGTTAATATAGTAACTGTGACATAAAAAAATGGAATATAAACATAAATAACGTAGGCCTACATAAAAGCACATAATTATAGTCACGCTATAGCCTAGATAAAACTCCGTTAAACTTAATTCAATATCAAAACCTCAGTTTCTAGTATTTGTTATAGTGTGGTCCGAATCAGCCTAGTGGTGGTCCCAATCAGCCTGGAATGTGGTCCCAATCAGCTTGGAATGTGGTCCCAATCAGCTTGGAATGTGGTCCCAATCAGCTTTGACTTTTGGTCCCAATCAGCCATGGTCCCAATTTCTCAATCCGATTAAACACATATCCTATTTTGTTTCGTTTTTTATAGTTCAAAATTTCGTTTTACATGTCTTTACTACACTAGAATCTGGAAGAGTTGTTATATAACCCTCGTTCTGGATGATGTGTGAGATTAGCCAATGAAACGGTCTGTTAATGTGTGTTTTTAGCATGAGCTGCACGGAACTTTGGGTAAACCACTAGAAACTTCAACGCTGATTGATTAATCAATAGCTGACGTCATACGGTCAAAATCCGCTCATATGACATCTGGCGCGACATTCCACTACAACTGGTCAGATATTCATCTAGTGTAAGACATCGAAAGTATAAAAAAAAACGAAACGAAATATAGATCTGTATTATAATCAGATTGGTGATTTCTCAGTGCTCCGTTTATTTGGAAAATAAAAATGAATCCTTTACTTGTGATGATGAACGCTGTGAGGACATATAGGCTGAAATAATTTTGTAGGGCCAACTCTAAATTTTAAATGTATTTCTAACGCCTCAGTGATGTCAGTGCAGTTGTCTATTTGGGAATTTTTGACGTTGCAAGGTAATTAGCAGGTCTTGAATGTGTCTGGGTAGAAATAAAAGATTATAATAAGAAGAATTTTTTAATCGGGTCCTTTTATAGAAAACCGAATTCGCATGTTTCTAATTGGAGCCTAATTGAAGAGAATATTAATTTGGTGAAGGATGAAAACAAAAATATCATTATACTTGGGGACTTCAATTATAATCTTCTAAACATCAACTCGGGTAAAATTCATGATATCTTAAATCGATTTAACTTAAAACAGTTGGTAACAGAACCGACCCGAATTACCTATTCGTCATTCACGCTCTTGGATCTGGTCATGGTGAATTGTCCGGACTTTATCCATAGCACGAAAGTCATCGCCGCAAACGTAAGCGACCACTGTCCCGTTGTAATTGAATTAGACTGCAGGAAACCAAAACCGCGTTCACACTTAAGGACTATTTGGTACTATCCGATGACGGACACATATGGACTAAATAACTTTTATGACAGTACCAACTGGCATCAACTCTTTGAACAAAATCCAAACCCAAATGATTTAACACGGGAAATAACTGCTAAAATCTTGCTCGGTATAAAAATGTTTGTTCCACATAAGGACGTAAGAATACGACACCAAGATACACCATGGATGAATGGACATCTTCGCCGAATCATGCGCAAACGAAATCGTTATCATTCGAAAGCAAAATCCGAAAACTCTCAAGAAAGTTGGCAGTGGTTTAGACAGTATAGAAATTATGTTATCTCTGAAATACGAAAGAGCAAAAAGACATATTATGACAATATAGATAAAAAAATAAATGAAAATAAATTTCATGAGCGTAATTGGTGGTCCCTTGTAAAACGAAATGCTATCAAAAGTGGTAATGGCTCGCATGAGATACCACCGTTACTGGTCGGTGATGAATTATTTCACGGACAAAAAGAAAAAGCGGACGCACTCAATGAATTTTTCGCTGAACAATCCAAACTACAGGTTAACTCAAAACCAATCGATCTACCCTTCAACGAAATAGAAATTGTCAATCCAGAATATAAAGCGTCTGAAGTAAGTGACATTTTAAAAAGTTTGGATATTGGTAAAGCCACGGGAATGGACAAAATTCATAACACGATATTAAAAACCTATTGCAATACATTGATAAAGGGAACATTCACGATTGTTCGAATTACAGACCCATCTCTTTATTGAGCACTATTGGAAAAGTTTTTGAAAAATGCATTTATAAATATATTTATAACTTTTTACATAAATATAAACTTTTAACACCTTTCCAGTCCGGATTTACGCCACAAGATTCATCCATATTCCAACTGATCGATATTAACGATTATATTGCGAAAGCATTAGACGACGGCAAAGAAGTTAAGTCTGTTTTCTGCGATATCAGCAAAGCGTTTGACCGTGTTTGGCACGAAGGATTAATACTTAAACTAAACGCAATTGGCATACGAGGTCAGCTCCTAGTCTTGATTAAAGATTACCTAACCAACAGAAAACAGTCAGTTATAATTAAAGATGCAAGATCGGAAGAGTAAATAATGAAATCTGGCGTGCCCCAAGGATCAATCCTGGGCCCCTTGCTGTTCCTTGTATATATAAACGATGTCGTTAAAGGTATTGCATCTAACATTCGCCTATTCGCGGACGACATGTCAATGTACATGATAATTGAAGATATAAATTCGTTTCAGCAAATTCTTAATAATGACTTGGGGAACATTAAGGCGTGGTCCCACAATTGGAATGTCTTGTTTAACCCAAACAAAACTGTCAGCGTAACCTTCTCGAGAAAACTCCAACCCACAATATTCAATTTACTCTTTGGATATGTAACAGTGTACGACGAGCCAAATCATAAACACCTTGGTCTTTTTTTTCAAAACTCAGGTCATTGGTCCGTACATATTGATTCCATAATCAAGAAGGTAAGTAAAATAATAGATTGCTTCAGAAGTCTGAAATACAATCTTTCTCGTAAATCCCTGGAAATAATTTACAAATCGTTTATCTTGCCTAACTTTGATTACGCAGACGTCATATGGGATAATTGCACAAAGTACGAAAGTAAAAAACTGGAAAATCTTCACTTGGACGCTTTAAGAACAATAACTGGGTTAATTCGCGGAACCTCACATGACAAATTATACGCAGAATCAGGCTTCACCTCATTAGAAACAAGGCGATACAGACACAAATTAGTTGTGTTTTACAAAATGATCAATAAGCTTGTACCCCAATACTTAAGTTTACTTGTACCCCCTAAAACCCGCAATATTAATCCCTATCATGTTAGAAATGAAAATCAGTATCGTACTATACAATGTAATAGTACTCATTACAGTAATTCATTCTTGC